GGGCCTAATTAGCCAGAGGCAGGGCTGACTTGGAGATGAGGAAGCTTCTAGCAGCTTCTTACAGGAGCCACCCTGTGGCCCCTCCCCAGCTACCCAAATCTCACCCCACAAACCCAACCCAGCCAGGAAGTTTAATTCTGTCTGCCGCGGGGATCAGTTTGCTGTTAGCAGCCCACCCCCAGCCCACCCCCACCGTCAGGTTATCGGGGGCCCCAACTCCCCTTCATAAGGAGAAGTGGGATTCACCTGCAGGAGCTGTGCAGCGGTGGTGTCGGACCAATAGGTGGTGCCAGCACCCCAGGAACTGTCACACTCCTGACTTGGCGAATAAAATCCTTGGAACGGTCATGTGATGTCATTGTTTAGCCTTTGATACATAAAAAGTGTCTGATTCTTACCGTTTCATGCTAGTTGGCTGTAAAACTGGAACTCGCTCCACACTGGCAGTTGCCAGTCGTTGGTTGCCTGAAGCGTCGCCCGGTTGCTGTTTTCTACGTGTTCACTTTCGTGCCTGTGTTTTAAAAGCTTTAAAACGTTTTTTTTTTCCCTTCACACAATGTAGTAGCAGAGTAAGTTCCAACAAGTAGGAAGTGGAATATCCATGGATTAAGCTCCTTGCAGCTTAGACCTTGACCTGCTGTCAGCTGTGCCAGGTCTGTGTCGGGCGATGGCCTTACTTTTGTCCGTGCAGTCACACAAAGCCCTTCCCAGCATGTGTCCTTCCCCTTTCTACACCCGGTACACTGACACTTTCTCCAGCAAGGAGGATATGTTTTACTAAAAATACTTGCTTATGCATATAAATGGAAGATGAACTGAGACAGCAGAAGAGGTGTCAAACGTCAAATTGGAGATGATAGTTGGAATTTTATTTTTATCTTATTTAGACTAATCTATCATTAAGGGCAGTTTATTAAGTCAGGGTAGGTGTGTTTGGCCAGTTAATTTCTGGAAATTCAGTATTAAATAGGAAAGGTTGTGGTGTCGGGGTATGGTTTGTTTTAATGTGCTGGAGTGTGTTTGTGGATGGACAGAGCACTGTCCTCCCTTGCAAAGGAGTTTTAAAAGATACTCAGTGCTTATTCAGGAGTGAAAACATCAAATTAAACTGTTTATGCTGACAAAGGACAGAATTGGATTTCAGCAAACGGTGCAGGATTGTCTGATTGCTTGGCTTGTCTAGGAAAGCTTCTGGCCAAGACTTATAATGAAATGCATGCATAAAATTAAAGCACTTGAAGTCTGTAGTTCAGCTTTTGGAAACCGTAAGTATGTTCCAGCTGTCTCTGGTGGGTAAAGCTGGTCCCCTGGTACCTGTGTTGCTTCATATTCATAAATCAGTTCTTCATGCGCCAGCGACGTCGTCCTGCAGAGCCAGCAGTACCACTGCTGAGACTCGGCCCCTCAGCCAGGAACCCGGGTGAAAAATGATCCCGATCGATGGGGCTGTGGAGATCGCCGGATTTTTATCTAGAATGAACAGCAAATTGAATAACAATGAGCGCGTGTGAATAAGTGCCCTGTCAGGGAGCCCTGACACTGATGGATGAGGAGACGCTAAGTGTTGCTCTCTCAGGGCTCTGCGCATCCCCCGGTGTGGCAAGCAGAGGTAGCAAACAGGTCCGTGGTGATGAAATCAGACCGTGCTTAGCAAGAAGGAGGTGCCTTCAGTGAATGCTCTGCTGAAAAGATCCGGTTCATGCGGTTTAGAGAAGCGCCTGCAGTCGCACAGCGCAGCGGAAGCAAGCGTCCAGTGCTGGTTCTCTGCACCGACGTCCAGGCTCTCGGTCCGCCGGTGCTGCAGACGGGGGGGCGGAGGGGCTCACGTGCCGCAGGTGAACGTCTGCGTGACACCGGTATTTATCAAAACGGTTCACGTTGCTGTTGGCAAACAGCAGATGATGGGTTTGGTGCAGGAACGCAGGCGTTGGCATCTGTCTGTGTTTGTAAAAACAATGTGTTTACATCTGGTGCTGGTAAGAGTGAAACAGTTTAAGGCTGCAAAAACCTGTTCTCTCGGCGAATGCGTAGCTGTGCTGTCAGACTTGTGCTCAGGCACCTCTTGTGTGAACCCTCAGTGTGCTTATAGAACTACATTGAGGGTTTGTAAGCAGTAGAGAAAAACCCCCTGAGCTGAGGAAGCTTTGCCAGCTTTACTTCCTGCTCCGTTGGAACCTCCTCGGGAGCGTGGTTTGTAGAGGTCAATGTCTACGTGTAGGTTTAAGTAAGTTAAGACTCTTTCAACAGTTCTCTGAAAGCTTACGCCGCAGGACTGTCTGCATTTATCTACTGTCCACACTAAATTTAGAATTTATTTGCATCTTGGTAATACAGTGAGATAATTAACGGCAGGATTCCTTACGTAGAAGGGTTTCCTTGTTGTCACGGAAGGTTCCCCCTGCTCTCCCGCCCTGCCTTTGTCCTTTTTCTCTCTGCGTGCGGAGCTCCTGCCCGTAGGTTCCTTTGGGAACTCCTCTCCAGAAGGAGCTGGAGGAGTGGATCCAGTCTGGGCCGTGCAGGAGATCACTGCAGTGTTTGTTATCTATTGTTTCTATTGCTCAGAAGTTCTAAGACATTGAGACTACTCTTTCTTAGCTCAGTAACTTTAATGTAGGAGTTTCTGTCAGGTATTACCTTTCATTTTGTCAAAGAACCCTTATCCAGGGGTGAGGCTGTTCTCTGGTTTCCAGGCTTCCCGTTCTGCTTACGGTAGGTACACGTCATTGGAGTGCAGCAAGAACATGGCCTTAGCTTGTGCCCATGTCTCAGATTCGGTTTTCCCCCCTCGTTATAAATGTTCCTGTGCCATTCCACAGGGAGAATTATTTTATGGTTCAAGCCCAGTATTTGTTCTGGAACGCGCCTCATTTTGACCTTGTTTGAAGGATCAGTAAAATTCCTTCCATTTGTGACTTGTTCTGTGCTGTCAGCTGTTGGTATCAGTGGTCCGTTTCTGCTAGTAGTTGCGTAAAAATCTTCTTTATTCCCAGTTTCAGCATTTAAAGAACGGAGCCATGTATTGCTCCAAGGTGTAAATGAATAGTCATTGCCTGTAATACAAGTGCACACTTAGAGTGTCCTACTGCTTTTAGATGTGATGTATTTGGTACTGTAAAGGTAATGATCCTCAACCACAGCAATATTCTGTAACAGGAATATCTGTCATATTCATTGGGATTACCATGTTCATTGATTTGTGTCTGTAAATCTGCTGCTTCTACCCTTTAAATTTGATCTATAATTGGACCTCCTTAAATGGTGCAGATAAGGTAGTCTGTATTTTCTCAACAGTGTCACTGTCAGCTTCTCCTTTTTCATTATACATTCAGCAGACTTGATAAAATCAGCAGGACACCTCATTTGAAACTGTTTAATCGCTGCCTTTTTCTTTCACGAAACCATTGAGGTGGTCAAGCGATGTACACAAATCATTTTAAATAGGAAATATGGCTTTCTCTGTGACCCAGCTAAACAGATAGCAGTATGCAAAACAAGTTAAACAGTAATAAATGCCAAAAAAATCTTCTAATTGGAGTAAAAAATTGCAGGTAACTATTGGCTCCCCAAAAGTAGCGTGCTCTGAAATATGGTTAGGGCCGCAGACAGACGGGCGGTGTTCCCGAAGGCTCGCTCCTTCCGAGCAAAGCAGGCTCACGGTTTCGGACAGTACCCTACTGCTTTTTGTACTCGCTGGCGGCCCACACGTTTGCTACCCCCGCAGTGGCAGCGCTCTGGGGAGGGCTGGCCGCGGCTACCACTGTGCCCTTCGAGAAGGGTGATGTTAGACTCCTGTTTTCATGTCCCTCGTTTTGCCTCTTCAGCTCTTACTGTTCGGTTTAAAATAGCAGCGCAAAGTAAATGCATAATAAATGGTTCTGCAGCGGATCCGGGGAATAGCCTGGTGGCAGCTGCCCTGTTACCAGCTTGCTCGTCCCCGTGCGTAACGGCGGCTGTGCCAGGGCAGCTCGTCAAAGCGATCTCTTCGTTCTGAGCGCCTCGGTGTTAAGTGGCACAAACCCGCTAACGTGCCCGGGCACAGAAGTGGGACAGGAGCAGTGGAGGAGTAGGAATTACAAACTGTGGCATTCAGTTAACTCTCTTTTTCTAACCTAATTGTCATATCTCGGTGCTCAGAGCAGCAAAAAGGCTGTCAGAATGGGGCCGTGACAGCTCCGTGTACACCAGCGATACATTTAGGATGACATTAGGTGCTGGACGTGGAGGGTGAGCGCTTGGGAGGGTGTAGCAAGCCACGGTGGACTTCAATCTGGTTTGTGCTACCGGTACCTGTGACCTTGTTCTTCAAGTGTGCCGTATGTAAATACGCTGGCTAAGTGCGTGCCCTCGCTTTGTCACCGTAGGGTCTGGATCGTTGGCGGCTATGGCGGTATTCGAAGATAAATACAAACCGGACATGGAGGTAAGAGCTGGCGTTTTGTAAAGCTCGGTGTTTCTTCTCAGTAATTCTCGTGATCGTAAGAATTTAAGAGGTTTGAAGCTTTAAAAAAGTTAAATCTGCTCTGGTTTCCCTGCACTTAAAGTGTGCTTATGTCAGCTGACTGCAGAGCTGTGGATTGGTGGGTAAAATAAATACAGAGAAATAGCGTTTCTCGCGGGTTTACGCACGGGAAGACCTGTGTGATTCGAATGTGGGTGAAAGCGTTAAAAACCACACAACTTACTGGTTACGGTTGCCCTCAGGAACTGAACAGCCCTCGTGTGGTCAGCATGGCTGGTTTCTCCCACCACCCTTCTCTGCAAATACCGAGGGGAGAATGCGTGATGGGAACAGGGACAAAACCGGTGTAAAGGCGCTTGTGAAGCTGGTGTGCTCCCCAGTTGGCCGCGTACATTCAGAACCAGTAACTGCACTTCAGAGCTGATTGTCATAAGGTTTCAAAGGTTGGGGTTGTGTTTTGCTGATGGCCTGGATAAAAACAGAGACCTGTTTGGTTGTGCATTGCGGAGAGGCACTGGGGAGGGCTGGAATCTGGAGGGTCACCATTACCATCAGAAGTTACGCGGTTGTTCTTTGGGAGGGCGTGCGGCGCATTATTTCTGTGTTGTCTGGAGTATTTCCTTTCGTTGTTACACCACATTCAGCACCTCCTAACCTGAAGAGTGAAAAATCCAGTTACCTGCAGACCAAGTATTGATGAAAATAAACCCAAAACAGTTAAAGGGCTTTTTATGACCATGTTCTGTAAAATGGCTGGGTAATGTGGAGCCCCTGTAAACTACACTGATCTCTTCCAATTTCCTGTGAATGCTCCTTCTAGTTCTACTTGATTAATAATTGCACAGTGAAGGCAAAACTAGGAATTGAACACAGGATTGAAAATAGAACCCAGTAAGAATGACAGTTGCAGCCTGAAGCGCAGGTACGACAGATCTTACAGCTGTTCACCATCCCTGTGTCGCGCAGAAAAGGTCCTCGGATGGTCCTCGTACTGCAGCTGCTGTGGGGCATTCCCTCCCCTGCAGACGCTGGTGTCACTGCCGTGCATGCTCAGGTGGTCATCTCCAAGTCCACCGCGTTCCTCTGTGAAAATCAATTAACTGAATTTAAAATGGAAAGTGACGTGCCGTACCCTGCTGCATCTCCCAAAGAAATGTGATGTTTAATACCAGTTGATTTCCAAAAAGCAACTTGTTTGGAGAAGTTTTCCAGGAGTTGAACTGCTTAGGAGTTAGTAATAAGCAGTTTTCCAGTTATTCCTGGAACTGTCTCCTTTTCTGTCAGTGTATCTGGAGTAGCTGTGGGCATGCAACGTTCCGAAAACGCACTAAGATCAGGATTCCTGAGTTGCTGCAATGTTTTGGGCAATATCTGAAGACTCCGGACTTCTGGCCTCTGTATATTTAGAGAAGCTGTCGGCACGCTGGGAATATTTGTAGCAGGCACTGAGGTTTCTCCTGCAAGGAGCCTTACGCTGGGCGACAGATGGGAGAACCACCAGGCAGAGGTAGTCTCTCTGCTCTTTGTTTTCCTCGCCCCTCGTGCCGCTGTAAGAATGACAGAGTCTCCTTCCAGCCTCCTCTTGTGTGGCTGCGCGCTTGGCATGTGTGCTGTTCGTACTGGAAACGTGGACCACAAATCCTTGGAATCACCAGCTACAGCATAATGGTCAGCTTTCCGAGGCGCAGATGTCCGAGCTCTGCCGTGAAACGAAAATCTCTTCTTATCCTCAGCTGGTCCTCCAGCTCGTATTTGAAGTCCTTCTTTGTGGAAGAGCAACCAAAAAAGGCACCAGAAATTGGTAAATCTCCAACTTTTCCTGTTTGGAAAGGTCATCCTAATTGAATTGTCTTCGCAGACAAGCGTAAGTGGGTGCAGATATGTTGGAACGGGGTGCGGGAATGCAGCCTGGCCCTCGGTGCAGGTGGCTGTTAGGTCTTTGCCGTGGCGGGCGCTTCACCCCGCTCTGTTTGAACCTGATGTTCTGGTACAGCAGCGCAGTAATCGCGTTCACTGAACCAGCACAGGCTGAGGTGGTGAAGCTCAACCGTCCTCTGAAACCCTCCGCGTTGTCAGGCTGCCAGCTTAAAATGTTCCCCTTTTGGGTCAGCCGCGGTTTGCTTGCTTTTCCAGTGAAGGAACGCAGTGACAACCGAGATGTCTCTTGAAATGAAATCTGACGCACACTACTTATATTTTAAATAAAATTTTCTATGAAATGGCAATGATAAGCTCAAAATTCCCGGAGATTAATTTAGGAAAATGGGGAGAGGATTAGTATCTTTCTGTCAAGATCAATACTGCTTTCCTTTGCGCTAATTGTCAGAATATCTTGCTAGGGCTACTGGAGGGTAGTGGTGTGCTTCAAGACCATCACATCACAGAAAAATGATTCAAAGGCAAACTGTCCTGCACCCTCTGGTATCGACTTGCAAATTAGCATCTGGAATGTAATTAAACAAGCTTAATGAAAGTAGCAGCTGAATACTACTGGAAAAGACAATCAGCTTTTTCGCCTCTGATATATATTCTGTACTATTGAAGCTGATCACCAAACGCATCGTGTGAGCACAGTTAAAAAAAATTAGCATTTATTTGAAGAATAGGGACTGTTTTTCATTCTGTTACGCTTTTGGCATGCACTGGTGTCCCCTGAGAGCCGTGCCACAGCAGATAGTGCACAATATTTATAAATCTGTGACAGGCAATAATAGCAACTTGAAAAATTCTTTTGCTAGAATTTCAAGTTGAGAGCTGCCAAAAGCTGAGAGGATCAAATCTGCAGTGGCAGCTGCTGTGCCCTACAGTTAGAATTGTCGACTTTGAAGATGCTCAACTAAAAAAAAAAAAAAAAAAGACGACTCCAGGCTTAGCCAATTTTTGCAGGTTTCTGGAGCCCTGGCTCTCTGCCTTTTGAAGATGAGCTGCTGAAGCTTCTCCCACTGCCTGGGGCGTGCTAACACCAGCAGGATGTGTTTTTTTCCATAGACTTAGTGTGTCTTCAGATTTAAGTAGCACATGCTTTGTCAGTGCCAACTGTGATGGTCCTTTCCCTGGTTGCAATGCCGGGAGATGATCTTTACCCAACATCCTTCAGAGAAAGTGCTAAGATAGATGGTGACGTGCACGAGTACCACTTGTGCAGTCTGATTTATGGAGGCGTGTTTCATTATGAAGCAAGTGCTGGCCTCTAGAGGAACCATTATAGATCGCTGAAGATGTGAACACTTTCAGCCCTGAAGGCCTGTAGATGCTTCAAAAATGTAATGCCAAGCACCTAACTACTGTGAAACAATATTAATCTGTCATGTGGGCAGCCATAGATCTACTTTAAAAAACATAAGTGGAAGAACAGCACATCTAATAGAGTGTTTTGAGCTCGGATCTTTCATCACAGCCGATTTTTCTTGCGATAGTTTCAGTGGAGTAGCCACATGGCTTTTAAACCTTACAGTCAGATTTTGCAGATGTATTCGTGCCTCCCGGTGTTCAACAATGGTAAAGAAACTCTGAGTCAGTGGGTATGGAAACCATCGTGGTCTGGGAAAAAACTGCAGCATTCAGTGCTGGAATTCTGGGTTTATCTACTCTGTGGTTGCCGAGTTCCTAGGGAAGTTGAGTGGGGGCTATTAAATATTTTATTCTGGTATTTGACTTCTGTTTGAAAAGTAGAAGCTTTTTGTCTGTAGAATCCCTTGATGTACAGCGAGGCTGTGTTGTAGGCTTCAGTAGAAGGCACAGAAAGCAGAACTGTTGCAGGGAGAGGAGAGTAAACCTTTGGGTAAATGAGTGCAGGGGCATGGGATAGGTGGAAAAAAAAAATGGAAGGAGGTAGCCTGGCAGGTATTTACTAACTATGTCTAAAATAGGTCACCCCAAAAATGTGAGCTGACATTTACAGCCATTTATTATACGCGTTTTCTAGTGTGGCAGGAAATCAAGTGGTACGGAATGAAAACAAGCAGAGCGGAGGGGCAGCAGGAGAGTAGAAATAAGAGTGCTTGGAGCGTGGGCACTTACCCTCCTGCAGCCACGCTGTCCGAGAAGCTGCTTCTGGCCTTCCTCCCGGAGACAGGCACCTCCTGGCCGGGTTTGCTTCTGCGATCGTCCTGCAGCTGTCGCTTTGCGAACCTATTGGCTTCGGCAGCAGCTCTGGGTAACCCTCTGGAAAAGGGGAGCAATGGGCAGGCAGGCGGGGTTCGGTTACGTTCAGTGAACAGGTCAGCTGTCAGAGCAGTGTGCTCACTGGGAATTTACAGGAAGAAGGAGAACTGGAAGTCAGGTCTGCAGTTTTGTTTCTGGCTTTGCTGCTGATTTTTGAGGTACTTTTGAGCAACCCCATATCCCGAGAGGGAAGAAACCGAGGCATAAAGAATGCCTTCCTCTGCACGCTCGACGTGTGCGCAAGGTCTCTGCTGTAGCGGAGTGGAAAGTAGCCCAAGGCCTTTTTACAGGGGCCTGTAGTCACAGGCCGAGGGGTAATGGCTTTAAACAGAAAGAGGGAGATTGAGCTGAGACATCAGGAATCCTTCCCGGAGAGGGTGAGGAGCACTGGGACAGGTTGCCCAGAGAAGCTGTGGATGCCCCATCCCTGGAAGTGTCCAAGGCCCTGGATGAGGCTTGGAGCAACCTGGTCTAGTGGAAGGTGTCCCTGCCCATGGCAGGGGGGTTGGAACTAGATGGTCTGCAAGGTCCCTTCCAACCCAAACCATCCTGTGATTCTATGATATGATTCTAAACTCGGTTTTCGCCATGCACTTCTTATTTCAGTAAAAAATACACCAGGTGTAGTACAAAACATTACAAAAACATGTCACTTCCCTCCACTTTTAAGGAGCTGCCATACAGACCTTTCAAAGGAGTTCATATTCCTGAGTGTCCCTCGGTGTGGTGGCATTATTTTTGTTTATTAACTACTGACAGTACTACTGAGCTATTTTTGGAAACTGTCAGAACTCTCTAATCTTCAACAATAGTTGTCTCATCAGTCTTATTTAGCCGGCGTCGGTGTGAGGCAAGGCTCGGGAGCGGTGACAGGCCGCATATGAATTCTGTATTCATTAGTGATGGTGATCAAAATGCCGGTGTCCCTGCCACGGGGCTCAGGTGTGGGAGTGTGCCGGCTAATCCTGCCAGCTGACACTCGGGGGCTTAATGACTCCGTGGGAAGGTGACCACTCGCTGGGAGGTTTGTCGGCTGAGCGCAGGCAGCAGACAATGGAGATCAAGCCAGACTATCGGAGTTAAGCTGCAGAGCCTGCCTGAGATACTTGAACCCCTGTTGGCGTCGAACACGGAGATTAAGTAAATGGGGGGAGAGTCTGATTCTGCAAACAAAAATAAGTGCTTAGTGTCTGTGGCTCTGCGTACCTGTTTATTTCATTGCCTGGTGACAGGAACAGACCGTTAGTGGCGTATCTTTGCTGCCTTTCCTGGCCGTACATCCCATGTTTTCCGCGCATACCTGTATTATTGCCTCCTTCAGAGTTCTGGATTTCCATGGGTACGTCAGGCAGAGTGCGGAGTTGTCCGGAAAACAAAGGCTTACCATGCTGTCTCTTACTTTTAGATTAGGTCAAAACTGTTCCACGGTAACCTCTTCCTGCTTGACAGGCTGGAGGGTGGGTACTGCTCTCCCCTTCTTCCGCGGAGTGGTGCCTGGGACTGATTGCCTTGGCAGAACTAACAAACAGAAACAGGAGGCTGATGTACAGGGCACGAGCTGGATGTGATCCGGAAGGGCTGGGATTACTGGGGAGTGTTTCAGGATGTGCTTTTCAGGTATATCAAACACAGCTTCCCACCTGTTTCTTGCACAGAAACTGCCAACAATCGGTCTGACTTCCCAGTGATTCCCAGTAGCACCACCTTCTAGTTTTCTGTTGGAGACTCTATGGAGGGCACTAAATTTTACCGCTGTTTAAACTGGGCTTTGCTGCGTGACCAGCAGTCTCCTCACCTTGGGGCACGTGAGCTTCGTACGCAGTAACGCAGACAAGCTGCTCGCGAGCCGGGCTCCGCGGAGGATGGTTTCCCTGCACAGGGGAAGGCGAACAGCTGACTGGTTTTGGTGTGTTTCTCAGGAGCAGGTGTTCCCCTTGAAATGGTTTCACTCTGTGTATCTCCCGTAACTGCAGGACACCGGCAAAACATCCTGGAGGAGATCTCACGTAGCACGAAGCCCGCGTGCCGCTCCTGCGGCGAGGGCTGTGGAGGCAGGGAGTGATTCCTGCCTGTGCCGCGAAGAGGGAACGGAATGAGCAGAGGGTGGGAGTCAGGCTGGGCTGTGGGGGAGGCTCCCTCCCCACCAGTGAGCTTCAGGGAGCATTGTGGTGCATCGGGAAGGATAGCAGCGGGCCCAAGGCTTCTTTTTCCAGATAAAACGTTGATCTGCGTTCCCTTCCGCCCATTGTTAAGGCGAAGTCGGTTGCAGGCACAGAGATTTGCTTTATCTGAGGCCAGCTGTGCTGTGTGGATGTCCGGGTTTTGCTGTGCAGTCACAACGCAGTCAGTTTAATCGCCATCCTTCGCACCGTTCCCGTCGCTGGGTACGTCCCGGCGGCCAAGGCTTGGTGTGTTACTGCAGCTGCGTGGAAGACGGAGGCTGTGGCGCTGTCGGAGCAGAACCTGCAGCCTGGAAGAATTTACAGCTCTCACCCTCGTGAGCTCGTTTCATCTGGAGAATCGGTTCCCTAAAAAACCACAGACTTCACCCAGACGTAAGCAGTGATGGATGGAACGAGTGTCCGTTCTTAGAAACCCCATAGTCATGAGAGGAGCTGTTACACAGCTGCGGAGGAGAGGGTTTAAATTGAAAGTGGGGAGGTTTAGATTAGGTATCAGGAAGGAATTCTTCCCGCAGAGGGTGGGGAGCACTGGGACAGGTTGCCCAGAGATGTTGTGGATGCCCCATCCCTGGAAGTGTCCAAGGCCAGGCTGGATGAGGCTTGGAGCAACCTGGGCTAGTGGAAGGTGTCCCTGCCCGTGGCAGGGGGGTTGGAACTGGATGATCTTTAAGGTCCCTTCCAACCCAAACCAGTCTGTGATTCTATGATCTGCACACAAGGGATGGCACGCAGGAGCTAACGTTGCTGAGCAGCACTTCCGAAGCGTGTAAGCTTCTTGCTTTGGCAGGTACTTTGGCATAAATTGTTAATGTAAGTCCAGGTTAGTGGGGAAGGCATTATTTTACTAAAAAAGATAAACTGCTGATTAATTCAGTATAGAACTCCATTACAAATTGAAAGGGTCTCTGCGGGACACCGGTACCCTAAAGACAGCAGATGTTGAATTGATACTCCAGCATATTTCACACCGCTATGAAATATTAACGTGGTTTATTGTACTTGTGTGGTGCACGGCGTCAGGAGGGGGAGGTGGGGATGAGCGCGGGCTTGCGGGCGGCTGCCGTTGGCACACGAAAACCCGTAATCACCGAGAATAATAATCGGGACTAAGGTGCATTTCGTTTGAGAAGTTCTTAGTAGCAAATGGTTAGAAAAATAAACACTTACTGACACGTTACTCACAGCAAAACCTCCTGATCCGTGGGTCTGTGAGCCGGGACTGAACGCACGCCGGCGCGTTTGCGGTGGAGCTCGGCGATTCGAGCTCCAACCACCGCGAGGTCGGTGCCGTCCTCTGATTTCTGTTGGCATGACGTCCTGCCCGTGCTCTGTCTGTGCTGACGATTCCCACCTC